TCTGTCAAGACTTGACAAGGCTTTTACGATCACCCATAAGCAGCTGGTGAACGTAGACGTATCTTCATGGTGGCGTATTTTAAATGTGCCACTCTAAACCCTACCCTCCCTCGTCTTCAATTGTGCCAAAATTGGGTGTGAAACCTGTCAACTGAGCAGAACGCGGAGATGCCTGCTCCGCGCGAACATCAGCGACCCATTCACATGGCGACTTGAATGTCCATGAGGACCACAACACATGGGCATCCAACATCACCACGGTCACTCATGTTTCAGGCTCTACAGCGCGCAGGTTACTACAGATTAAGCACATACACAAACACGCACTATATAGGGAACTATGCATTTGTCTATGGAGGAGGCACTTAGGAGCCAGCAGTTGAGTATTTCGCCACCCGGGTGCTAATGGGTTGGCCACATGGCATTCCCTGCCAACCCCGACCAACAGCCTTACTCTCTCCTCTTTACTTAAGCCTCACACACAACACCATGCAAACACCAACAGAACCCCACAACTCTCACATCCACATTTTGCAGCACACCAACTCGTCATGGACGATTCGTGTGTCTGCGCGTTTACTTCACTGTGGGTGTTTTTTGAAGCACCACCACCATTCTATGAGCATTTGTGAACATCCAGGTGACTCATTACCGCCTTGTCTTCTCTAATTTTCTACCACACTTACTGCAAATCAAAACACGAACAACTTGAAAACGCCAAATGTCGACAACAATTGAAGTTACTTCAGCGTATTTGATTGGAACAAAATGAGATAGTTGCCGAATAGTGCTCTTATACATACTTAGTTCAAATTGCATCCACACATGTAGGCCGCTACTTTAACCACACCAATGTTTGAAGTGATAGTTACCTTCAACATTGGAGATTTACTAACACTGTCAACTTAGTGGCCTTCAATTTTGTAAATCTCTCATGACTCTTCACACACATTATTGCAATGTTGTTGACAAAATTGAATAGGGAATCAATGCGACTTACCATGACTGTGCCAATCACGTCTTGGAAGTCTCGGCTCACCCACCAAGCTCTTCCAGATCAGTTACTGGCTGCTTCAACGACAACCGGAGTGGAATCTGGCCACATTGACCCCAGTCGTTTCACTCGTTGCATAGCCGATTATGTATTACATGGATGATTCCCGTGTTTTTATTGACGGGATTTCGCCAACTATTCCGCCATCCGGGGCTTATCGGTTTGGCTTAGTGGCACAAACAGCCAAACCTTGCCGTTGGGCTACGTTATTTCTATGCTATTTGTCACTACTAACAGATTACATTTTTACCTCATTACTAATATGCATCAAAGCCAAGTTAGCATTCCAATCATTATTAACATCACTTTCATTTCCCTCCGACGGTAATTCTTTGGGCTTTCAATGTAAGGTATAATTGAAAGCGTTGCAAAGTTATCAATTCCGTAGATATACTCCAAGATGTATCGGCATCTACTGAGACTGACTCAAGTGATTGATTATACAATGTGATATTGAAGTGGTTCAAGCATCTTTGATGACTAGTTCATATTTAAAGGTACTTCTCGTGAGACTATGACAGTAACAATTAGACTACATACCTCGTCATTAACCACATCTCATTCTAGTGTACTCCCCACTCAATACATCGAAATCCACTTCACCACTGAACCACTCCCCCATTCAACCACTCCACTTTCTAATATGGGGAACACTATGGAGTGGGTCGAAGGACTCAATCTCACCTTCGTACTCTGAAATGAACTTGAAGAAATGCACTTTGTCTCAAATTCGCCTTAAGCAGTGTGTACGCTGAGAGTTCATATTGTGAAAGTGTGCGCGTTGGTAGGTTTAGTGGGGCAAGTGGCTTGGCAGTAAGAATAGGTAATGGTGGGGACTGAGAGGTGGAGAGGAAGTGCAAAGTTACCTTCTGCCTGACCTTATGTTCATACCAAAAGAGCCTACTTAGTCGAGGTAATAAATGGAAAAGTTTCGTGATAACTGATTGTCGGATAAAAAGTATGTGTCTATTGGGTGGGCAACTAAGTCATTGCCGTTTTTGTTGACGGATTCACTCTATACTTTCTTTTGTTTTGTTAACGTGGCCAGAGCATCTAACCTATATTTTTTTTACTCTATGGACTTCTAGGTTAATTATTAAAAATTTTTTTTTGTTTAGTTCTTTAGTTTTGTTTTTATCCCAATTTAAAAATAAAAGAACAGGACGTGCACTTCCGACACATTTTATTGTATTACTTCCGAAAAGGCAAGAACGCATCGCAAGCACAAAAGAAGTTATGTGCCATATATGGAGATGAAGCCTTAAAAGAAAGGCAGTGTCGAAATTAGTTTGAAAGATTTCGTTCCGGTGATTTTTCACTGAAAAGTTCACAACGATCTGGCCGCCCAGTCGAAGTGGATGAAACCCATATCAAGGCCATTATCGAATCAAATCGTCACAGCATTCTTGGTTATGTCAAGAAACTTGATTTATGGATCCCTCACCAGTTAAAGGAAATTCATTTGACGCAACGGATTAGCATCTGTGATACGCCGCTACTGAACGCAATGAGAATGATCCATTTCTGAAGAACCTAGTTACTGGCGACGAAAAGTGGATAGTTTATAACAATGTTACTGGCAAGAGATCATGGGTGAAGCAAGATCAACCAGCCCAAATAGTATCAAAAGCAGAGATTCACCAAAATTAATGATTATGCTGTCAGTCTGGTGGGATCACAAAGGAATTTTGTATTTTGAACTCATGCCACAGAACCAAACGATAAATTCAAATGTGTATGTTGAAGAACTCGAAAAACTGAATGATGCAATTGAAGATAAGCGGCCGGCATTATCAAATCGGAAGGGTGTTGTTTTCCATCATGATAACGCAAGGCCCCACACATCTTTGGTTACTCGGCAAAAATTATTGGAACTGGGTTGGGATGTTTTGTCACACGCATCATATAGCCCTGACCTTGCGCCTTCGGATTACCATTTGTTTCGTTCCATGCAAAACTCTTTAAATGGTAAAATTGTTAACAACGCGGATGATGTCGGATCACACCTAATTGAGTTTTTTAATAGCAAAGACCAGACATTTGACGAACGGGGAATTTTTACTCTGCCAGAACGATGGAAAAAGGTCATCGACAAGAACGGCCAATATCTAATTGAATAAAGTTATATTTTTAAACAAAATTCCGAATTTGCCTTCTTATTTGAAATCGGCAATGACTTAGTTGCCCACCCAATAATACGGGGTGTGAGCAGAACTTTACCCCACGTGGTGCACTATGTGCAACGTATACTCATGAGGCAAAATGGACTCTAAATCGGCTATTCCTTTCTCACATCAAACTATCTTGACCCAACCTCGACCACATCCTCAGTACTCATCTTACCTTTTCTAAGACCCTGTCTATCTGCCTCCTTTACATTAAGGGGTCATTCTTCCCCCCGGCCTAGACTATTTGTAACTTTGTCTGTTCATCGCCTCTTTGAAGCTAAGGGCATATGATGACCATCAAAACGCCTGATATTTGAAATAATTGTCCCAAATTCAGGCATAAAGTGAATTAAATTCGATTTCAAAATTTGATTGCATAACTTGATGTTTCCTTAAATGTTAGTGGTAGCAAATAGCATAGCAAGAACGTAGCTCAACGGCAAGGTTTGGCGATTTGTGCATATAAGCCAAGCCGATTAGGCCCGGATGGCGGAATTGTTGGCGAAACCCTTGGTAATAAAAAGACAAAAAATTGTAAACAACAGAACATAACCGGCTACTTAACGAGTGATACGACTGGGGTCAATGTGGCCAGGTTCCACTCCGGTTGTCGTTAAAGCAGCCAGTAACTGGTCTGGAAGAGCTTGGTGGGTGAGCCGAGACTTCCAATCCATGATTGGCGCAGTCATGGCAAGTCGCATTGATTCCCCATCCAATTTTGTCAACAGCATTGCAATAATGTGTGTGAAGAGTCATGAGAGATTTATAAAATCGAAGGCCTCTAAGCTGACAGTGTTAGTAAACCTTCAATGCTGTATGTAACTATCACTTCAAACTTTGGTTTGGTTAAAGTAGCGGCCTACTTGTGTGGATGCAATTTGAACGAAGTATGTAGAAGGGCACTGGAAAGCTACCCTCCATCATTTTCAAATGCGCCAAAATTGGGTGTGAAACCGATCAACTGATCAGAACGCGGAGATGCCAGCTCCGCACGAACATGAGCAACACCGACCTCTTGGTGACTTGAATGTTCATGTGACCTTCCCCACATGATCATCCACCATCACCAATGCCACTTATGTTCCAGACTCCACGGCGTGTAAGTCAATGCACACCATACCACTATACACAGAACACATGCATCCTTGGGTCTAGCAGAGGGACTTAGGAGCCAGCAGTTGAGCATTTCGCCACCCGGGTGCTAATGGGTTGGCCACATGACATTCACTGCCAACCCCGACCAACAGCCTTACTCTCTCCTCTTTATGTAAGCCTCACGCACAACACCATGCAAACACCAACGTCACCTCACAAGTCTCACATCCACATTGTGCAGCGCACCAACGCGTCATGGGCGATTTGTGCGTCTGCGCGCTTGGTTGGCACAGTCATGGCAAGTCGCATTGATTCTTCGTCCAATTTTTACCAGCCCCATTAGTGAATTTGAACTCAATTAACTTTAAATACAGTTTATGGTTTGCTCTACGTTTAACTTCATATTTAATATAAACTTTACATAGTAAATATTCCAGTTTCCTTAAGAGATTACATTGTTGCTGTGCTGCATATTTATGTAATAAAATATAATTTTGATTCTAGGTTGATTTTTTTGTAATTTTGGCTGAATTTCATTTTTTGTCTTTGTTTCATTTTTTTCAATTTTTTATCGCTTAAATATGATCAGTGTGCTGGCGTAGCTTTGATTGAAATTTGCAACTTCTCTATTTCATTTTTTTGTTGAAAAGATTGTCGTGGCTGACGCAAAGGTTTTTCATTATTGTCAAGGCGACTAATGTACGTTTTTTTATATGGTGTTAGTTACCATCTTAAATTTATTTAATTTCTTGCTTTTTTTCAAGGGAATAATGGCATTTAGAGGAAAATTTTCAAGAGTCTGCTAATTTTCACAACTGGTGACCATTACTGAATCATTAGAAAACTCTAAGCACGTGATCAAATAAATTTAAAGGATAATATCAAAGATATTATAAATTTTGATATCAGGTGTGGAAATAATATTAATAGAGTTAATTCTGGTGAGAGCAATTATGTCGATCAAACTGCTATTGAATCTGTGGGACATTCCACCAATGACCAAATAGAAATCCTGCTATAGAATATTAGAGAGGTTTGTCAAAACAAATACGAAAACAATAAAGTTTCCTTTAAGAGTTTTCGAGGCAAACGTCTTCAAATTTTGGTTTTCTTTCAAAAAATTGACATTAACGTCAAATTTGTGAAAAGGTTAGCAATCGAAAGTAGATCGTAAAAAAATCCAATTTTCAAAATCAAGTAAATCTAAAATTGCGGTACCCGAACTTTATCTCTCGCATTAACGTAGAATATGAACCAGACTAAATCTCAATATTTAATAATTACTTATTCAATTAATGTATAAATTATTGAATTAGCATCTGCAGAGCCGTTTCAAACGTTGAGTGTGCTTTATTCAATGTCATATAGCCATTCACTTCAAAAACTTCACATTTCTGCTTAAAACATCTTTTTTTGTTAATTTGGATTAATTTTAACGTTGATTTAATGTCATAAATAAGAATCTTAACCGGCTTCAAGATAATGCAAAAAGTTTAAACAAATAAGATTTTATTTCCAAAATCCGATTTTTATTTTCAGATGAAAATATTAATTTAGTTTTGATGAATTCCATTAATTATATATATGTATATATTTTAAAACAAAGTTTAAGGACATTTTATTAAGTCGTATATAAAAAATTATAACTTATTGTGTTAATTGGCACTGATTTATAGCAAAATTTAAGTCGACACAAAACCCATTTTTAGAAATTATATTAGTAAGCGCTTTCAGGGACCCTAGTACAGAGTTCACAAGTCTGCTTTTAACCAGAATATTTGTTTGACTACATCCCAAGTAACGAGCTCAAAGGAGACAAGACTCTAGATGTTTCATTGAAAAAAAGCAGACAAAAGTGCACAATGCATTATCATTAAATACAATTATTTCAACTCATTCTTACACTAACACTGATCACTTTGATTCTTCTGCTTGCAATCTGCACTTGTTTGCTACGATCTATATACACACGTATGTACTTCTTGCAAGTACTCAGCTATTGCCTCAATTTAGTGCCATTTACTTACTTCCCCAAATATGGGCGATCAGATAAGTAGTATCATTTATTTCGACTGATATTACATTTGTTTGCCTTTTTCAATTCTCCTACCCCAACACTTTAGACTAGCCTAATTAAAATGATAAATGATTCACAATTTGGAAATAAAACGCAACCTTTTCCTAACTGTATCATTTTTATAGGCCCTATTGTTCGAAGACGTGCAAAATAGAGATTTAATATTATTCAAAGGTTCAAACGACCCGGTTGTGGATTGAGATAAAATTGTCATAGGCCAATGACAACCGTGTTCGAATAGCCATCGTTGGGGAATAAATCAGAATTTATCGGGTTATGCTGAGGACAGATCCATTTCAAAGCTGTTGGGGGGGGGGGGGGGGGGGGGAGGGGACATATGATCGCTATCTCCTCAGTTACTCGTCTCTGGCACTTATGAATTTCCATTGCCGTTGCGTAATAATGTTTATATATTTACTAATCTTGGCTTAGAAAGTAGAAAATAGCTCACCCAGTGAATTTCATTCACCTTTGCTTATCCTACTTACTCATTTTGATTGGACTGTCTTGACTAACTTTGACAGAAATGTTGCTATTTTTAATTTAGACGTTTAGTGGCAGAAATAAGAGCTAAGAAATTAGGAGTAGTGAACTTCACGAAAAATTGTGAAACAATGTATTTTTTCCTAATTGAAGTTCCTTCACATTTAAGCCTTCTTTCAATAATCTAGATATTTATATAAAAGTTTCCTTTAAACCCCATTTACCTTTATGCATATTTTAGGACTGAATTGGAACTGTTTTGACCAAACATTTGAGCACATTCAAATACATCAAGATTTTAAAATAAAGGGTTAGTAGTGACCTTTTGGTTGGGGCATCGCTTTCACTGAGAAAGCTTCTAATAGTTGTAATTGGGCAATGCGGTACCCAGGAGAACTTTTCAAAAAGGCTTTGAACATCAACTGAGATCATTCTTTAAAATCATAAGATAACTAATTTAAAGTACGCACATACACACACAACAACAACAATTCGAATAACTTTCAATAAACCCTTCTTTACAAGCTCAAATTACGAAGCAGTTCTCCAGTTTCTTCTAGCCATTTTTTTAATATTTAGTTAATAATATCTTCAGCTTACTCATAACTCTTAAACACCCTTAGAACCCCATGATGCTCTTTCAAAAATAAGCTTTTTTAGTACTAGACTCGTGGCAGAAAACGCTTTTGCCGTTTTGAACGTGTTCAATACGTGTTTATAGCTTTCATCTGATACCTATAAAACTCCCAACATCGGCACTGGGCAGCTATGAGACATGCGTGAGTGCGTTTGGGTGAATTGACCAACAAATAAATCGGGTATTAAAGGGTGTAAACAGGCACTAATGTGTCAGATAGGGTAGAGGAGTTTATTCGTTAATCAAACGATGATAGATTTGGAGGTGTACCTTACCCCGGTCTTCGCTGCCTTACCAATACGATTTCGTATTGAAAATTCGATACTAGTGAGGTTGGAAAGGGGCTGTGTCAGAAATGCATGGGATAAGAGTAGTCACTGAGGCCACTTTTGTTCTTGAAAATGCTACTTGAGTTGTTCGTACATTTGAAGTATGGTATGATTTAATTTTGCGTCGATTCTATACAACTATTCATAAAGTCCATCAGTAGAATGTGCAACATTTATAGCATCAGCAACTCTCTAATGTGGGAGAGTTGCTGATGCTAACGAGTATTTTCACATATGTACCAGTTGCCACGGTTTTGCCTTAATCGGCTTTGGAATTAAGGTGAGAAATTGCGCATTTTTATCCGAATAAAACCATTCCTATAGGCCTCGGAGTGGATAGCAAATATTATGCTAAAGGACCTCAAAACTAAGATAGCAAAGCCCCGTAAAAAGCACAGTCATTACCGCAGTGGTTGTTGTTGCTGTAAGACCGTTTGTTGTCGACCTCGATGCTGTATGTTCTTTTCCATTAATTTAATTCAAACTTTATTGATAATTGAAAGAAAGTATGAAATACAGAAAAAACATTCATTTTTTAGGTAGTAATTGCTGTTGTTGTTGCAATCATTAGAGGTATTATGAGTCAAAGTTGCAAATTCGGGTTAAATTACTGTATTTTCTTTGATTTCTCAATTAACCTTAATTTAAAATAAATGAAATTTGCGTAGCGAATTAATTTGTTTTTTATTTATTAAGTGCTGTGCGCATGATATTCAAAATTAATCATCACTTGTAATATTTGCCTATCAAACTCATTGTATGCATACTATTTTGTTTTGTGGGATATACACTTTCCTAATGGCCAATTACACATACGGCTTTCATAAAAAATTTTCGGTACAAAGATTGGCTAAAAGAACCCCCTTCTTTTATGAGTATAGTTTGATCACCAAAAAATTAATTCAACATGTCATTTGAATGGGCGAATTTTTGACAAAGAGAGAACGAATTGTCATACAAACATGACCATTAAATCGAAAAACCGTATCAAAAATGCAGATTAGAATAGAAAAAGCATAGTTTAGAAGTTTGTACTAAATGATATTGGAGGTTTGCAAAGCATATTGTTCACTGCTCTGCCAAAATGTAGAAATATGTAGCCTTAAAGCGTTAAATTTTCTTATGATGGAATCAGTACAAAACGGATAAATAGGCAATGATAAAAAATTAGATAGTATATAAGAGTTGAACCGATGAATACATTTGGGGTGACCAAGATGTACAGGCTTTGATTTGCAGTAAGGTTGGGAGAAAATTAGCGAAGACAAGGCGGTAATGAGTCACCTGGATGTTCACAAAAGCTCATAGAATAGTCGTGGTGCTTTACAAAATCCCGCATTGAAGTAAACGCGCAGACACACGAATCGCCCATGACGCGTTGGCGCGCTGCTAATTTAACCACACAGAAGTTTATTGGGAAAGTCACAAACAGCATTGGAGATCTACTAACATTGGCAACTTAGAAGCCTTCAAATATGTAGCGCACAGACGCACAAATTGCCCATGACGAGTTGGTGCGCCGCAAAATGTGGATGTGAGACTTGTGAGGTGACGTTGGTGTTTGCATGGTGTTGTGCGTGAGGCTTACATAAAGAGGAGAGAGTAAGGCTGTTGGTCGGGGTTGGCAGTGAATGCCATGTGGCCAACCCATTAGCACCCGGGTGGCGAAATGCTCAACTGCTGGCTCCTAAGTCCCTCTGCTAGACCCAAGGATGCATGTGTTCTGTGTATAGTGGTATGGTGTGCATTGACTTACACGCCGTGGAGTCTGAAACATGAGTGACATTGGTGATGGTGGATGATCATGTGAGGAGGGTCACATGAACATTCAAGTCACCAAGAGGTCGGTGTTGCTCATGTTCGTGCGGAGCTGGCATCTCCGCGTTCTGATCGGTTGATCGGTTTCACACCCAATTTTGGCGCATTTGAAAATGATGGAGGGTAGCTTTCCAGTGCCCTTCTACATACTTCGTTCAAATTGCATCCACACAAGTAGGCCGCTACTTTAACTAAACCAAAGTTTGAAGTGATAGTTACATACAGCATTGAAGGTTTACTAACACTGTCAGCTTAGAGGCCTTCGATTTTATAAATCTCTCATGACTCTTCACACACATTATTGCAATGCTGTTGACAAAATTGGATGGGGAATCAATGCGACTTGCCATGACTGCGCCAATCATGGATTGGAAGTCTCGGCTCACCCACCAAGCTCTTCCAGACCAGTTACTGGCTGCTTCAACGACAACCGGAGTGGAACCTGGCCACATTGACCCCAGTCGTATCACTCGTTACGTAGCCGGTTATGTTCTGTTGTTTACAATTTTTTGTCTTTTTATTACCAAGGGTTTCGCCAGCAATTCCGCCATCCGGGCCTAATCGGCTTGGCTTAGTGGCACAAACAGCCAAACCATGCCGTTGAGCCACGTTCTTGCTATGCTATTTGCTACCACTAACATTCAAGGAAACAGCTAATTTTGTAATAAATTTTGGAATCAAATGGAATTCACTTTATGTCTGAATTTGAGATAATTATTTCAAATGTCAGGCGGATTGATGGTCATCATATGCCCTTAGCTTCAAAGAGGCGATGAACAGACAAAGTCAAAAATAGTCTTGGGGGGGGGGACAGAAGAATTATCCCCTAATGTAAAGGAGGCAGATAGACAGGTCTTAGAAAAGGTAAGATGAGTACTGAGGATGTGGTCGAGGTTGGGTCAAGATAGTTTGATGTGAGAAAGGAATAGCCGATTTAGAATCCATTTTGCCTCATGAATATACGTTGCACGTGGTGCACCACATGGGGTAAAGTTCTGCTCACACCCCGTATTTGACACATACTATTTATCCGACAATCAGTTATCACGAAACTTTTCCATTTATTACCTCGACTAAGTGGGCTCTTTTGGTATGAACATAAGGTCAGGCAGAAGGTAACTTTGCACTTCCTTCCCACCTATCAGTCCCCATCATTACCCATTCTTACAGCCATGCCACTTGCCCCAATAAAACTACCAACGCGCACACTTTCACAATATGAACTCACAGCGTACACACTGCTTAAGGCGAATTTGAGACAAAGTGCATTTCTTCAAGTTCATTTCAGAGTACGAAGGTGAGATTGAGTCCTTCGACCAACTCCATAGTGTTCTCCATATTAGAAAGTGGAGTGGTTGAGTGTAGGAGAGGTTGAGTGTGGGAGTGGTTGAGTGGTGGAGTGGTGGAGTGGATTTCGATGTATTGAGTGGGGAGCACATACGAATGAGATGTGGTTAATGACGAGGTATGTAGTCTAATTGTTACTGCCACAGTCTCACGAGAAGTGCTTCTAAATATGAACTAGTTATCAAAGATGCAAGAACCACTTCATTATCACATTGCATAATCAATCACTTGAGTCAGTCTCAGTAGATGCCGATACATCTTGGAGTATATCTACGGAATTGATAACTTTGCAACGCTTTCAATTATACCTTACAATAAAAGCACAAAGAATTTCCGTAAGAGGGAAATGAAAGTGATGTTAATAATGATTGGAATGCTAACTTGGCTTTGGTGAATATTAGTAATGAGGTAAAAATGTAATCTGTTAGTAGTGACAAATAGCATAGCAAGAACGTAGCTCAACCGCAAGGTTTGGCTGTTTGTGCCACTAAGCCAAACCGATTAGGCCTAGGTGGCAGAATAGCTGGCGAAATC